ACACTTACTAGAACAGGACACAAAACAATGCAAAATTATACCAGAAAATGCCCAAAATGCCCAAAACAACCCAAAAAAATAAACGAAATGATCGATTTATAGATTTTTTAATTTATCTACGATTTAACTACCTCCTGTCACTTTGTGTAAGTCACAACAGAACTCTCCTTTATCTGTAAAAGGTGTTGTTGTTTTTTATAGGACCTGGCAATAAAGTGATCCTGAACATAACCAAAAAGCAATTAATTGGGCACCAAAAAGTACAAAATTACCACCAAGACACAAAACGACCCTAAAAAGAGGCTAAATTATACACGAAAGGCAAAAACAACCACTTAACTCATTGACTGGCAGCCATTTTCAGAACAGAGAGTCGCTCACTGCCAGAGTTTTTGAGCATTTTGACTGATTTTTCCAGAGCCACAGAATAGTTTGTGCTATGACTATGTAAACACCGAACACACCAAAAGAAAGAGTAGACTCTCTTCTTTCATCAGGAAAAAAAATGTGTTTCTACCTTATTCCGTTCTTCCTGGACTTGCGTCTCACCGGCGACATGTTCTCTCATAGCGAACCATTACGTTTGTTTTTATTTGCTTACAATCTATGCTAATCTCCCATCAAAAGTGGCACTGCCCCCTAGAGGATAAATTTGTTACTACATACTCTGTCTAGAAGCCGATATTTACGGAAAAACTTTCGCCGATCGTTCCCCAAGCCACTCGCATTGAAAAACATAAAAGACGTCTATAGACGTCTTTGGCAGCCAATGAGTTAAAGATCACTGACATCTCAGTAGAAATGAAAGAGGCTGAATTAAAGCACTTCATGGAGGATATTGGATGCAGATTGATGCTTTTAAATCCCTTTTTAATGGTATTTTGGAGCTGTGTGCTAACTTACCCAGCTGGTACCTTTAACAGAGTCCATGCTCCCCCTGGTTCTGACCCGGTCCGGTTGTTCAAATCCAACCGCTGACTGCCAAAGACGTCTATAGACGTCTTTTATGTTTTTAACGAGAGTGTCTGGGGGACGTTCTGCTAAAGCTTGTCCGTAAATATCGGCTTCTAGACAGAGTATGTAGTAACAAATTGACCCTCTAGGTGGCAGTGCCACTTTTGATGGGAGATGAGCATAGACTGTAGGCAAATAAGAAAAAGGGAACGGTTCTATGAGAGAACATGTCGCCGGTGAGACGCAAGTCCAGGAAGAACGGAATAAGGTAGAAACACATTTTTTTTTTCCTGATGAAAGAAGAGAGTCTTAATTAAAATTTCAAAAATGCCCCCAAACCTGCTACTACTGAAGGTTACCTTCTCATATGAAACCATTTTAGTCTTTGTCCTCCTTTTCCAACATGTTAGACAGACTAAACTGTCAGGTGGAGCCTCCTGGTTACAGTCAGAAACAGAAATCTGAGTTTTAACTCATCAGTAGACGTCGACTTTAACCCGGCTGATGTTTTGTTTTTTTCCCAGGTGGCCATAAAGAACATCCCCAAAACGGGCTCCATCTGCCAGGTGCTGGTGCAGCTGCCTCACGTCTTCCAGCTTTTTCCCGCCGACAGCCTCATGGACCAGGACGCCCGGTAGGCCTCGGCTCCTCCTGTTTTTACTGTAAACATCCGGTTCTGGTTCCTGGTTGATGGGACAGGTATAATATAATTATATATACACACTAGGCTGGTCCTGATCCAATATCTGGATCCAATCGGCCGGCAGGAGAAAACGCAGATCCAGACTCCAGATCCAGTTTTTATTTTAAATTCCGATCCCACACGAGCGTTAGCATTAGCATTAGCATCTGTAACCCACAGGTCTGTGTTCTAACCAATAAGTTATCAGAGTAAATCCCTGTTCAACATGAGTTTGACTACTAAGTAAGTAGATAAATAACTTTAGACTTTAACACATGCTCTGATAGGCCGGGATCTGGATAAAAAAGCTGGATGGGGACATCCCTAATACACAATATGAGATTGTGTTGTATCAAACTGGTCCTATAGTGTGTAAATGTCCCTTGTTATTGGGCATTCAGTACTAAGATCCACAGGTTGATATCTTCCTGTTTTTACTGTAAACATCTGGTTCTGGTTCCTGGTTGGTGGGACAGGTATTTATATATCACACTAGGCTGGTCCCAATCCGATATCTGGATCCGATCAGCCGCCGATATTTGCAAAAAAACTGCGTATCGGCCGGCAGGAGAAAATGCAGATCCAGACTACTGCTTTAAAGCCTCAAAAACAGCTTTAAAATCCCCCAAAATAGTTTAAAAATCCCTCAAAACAGCTTTAAAATCCAAAAAAACTGCTGTAAAATCCCCCAAAAAACCACTTTAAAAACTTCTGGTCTAGGCTGGTCCTGATCCAATATCTGGATCCAATCGGCCGGCAGGAGAAAACACAGATCCAGACTCCAGATCCAGTTTTTATTTTAAATTCCGATCCCACACGAGCGTTAGCATTAGCATTAGCATCTGTAACCCACAGGTCTGTGTCCTAACCATTAAGTTGTTATCAGAGTAAATCCCTGTTCAACATGAGTCTGACTACTAAGTAAGTAGATAAATAACTTTAGACTTTAACACATGCTCTGATAGGCCGGGATCTGGATAAAAAAGCTGGATGTGGACATCCCTAATACACAATATGATATTGTGTTGTATCAAACTGGTCCTATAGTGTGTAAATGTCCCTTGTTATTGGGCATTCAGTACTAAGATCCACAGGTTGATATCTTCCTGTTTTTACTGTAAACATCTGGTTCTGGTTCCTGGTTGGTGGGACAGGTTATTATATATACACAATAGGCTGGTCCCGATCCGATATCAGGATCCAATCAGCCGCCGATATTTGCAAAAAACTGCGTATCGGCGGGCGGGAGAAAATGCAGATCCAGACTACTGCTTTAAAACCTCAAAAACAGCTTTAAAATCCCCCAAAATAGTTTTAAAATCGCTCAAAACAGCTTTAAAATCCAAAAAAACTGCTGTAAAATCCCCCAAATAACAGCTTTAAAAGCCCTCAAAACAGCTTTAATATCCAAAAAAACTGCTGTAAAATCCCCCAAATAACAGCTTTAAAAGCCCTCAAAACAGCTTTAAAATCCAAAAAAACTGCTTTAAAAACCCCCAAAAAACCGCTTTAAAAGCTTCTGGTCTAGGCTGGTCCTGATCCAATATCTGGATCGGATCGGCCGGCAGGAGAAAACACAGATCCAGACTCCAGATCCAGTTTTTTTAAAGCCCGATCCCACTTTACTACAGGCTCTGATAGGCCATAATCAGATTGGAAGTGAAGAAAGCTGGATGTGGACATCCCTAATACACAATATGAGATTGTGTTCTATCAAACTGGTCCTATAGTGTGTAAATGTTCCTTGTTATTGGGCATTCAGTACTAAGATCCTCAGATAATCCACAGGTTGATATCTTCCTGTTTATACTGTAAACATCTGGTTCTGGTTCCTGGTTGGTGGGACAGGTATTTATATATCACACTAGGCTGGTCCCGATCCGATATCTGGATCCGATCGGCCGCCGATATTCGCAAAAAACTGCGTATCGGCGGGCAGGAGAAAATGCAGATCCAGACTACTACTTTAAAGCCCCAAAAACAGCTTTAAAATGTCAAAAAACATCTTTAAAATCCCTCAAAACAGCTTTAAAATCCCCAAAAACTGCTGTAAAATCCCCCAAATAACGGCTTTAAAAGCCC